AAGCTCTGCAGAAACCTGTCCAGCATCCTAGCAACATGCAAGCTTCTACTGACAGACGGGTGGTGGCTGCACTTGAGGTGGGCTGGCTGGGAATCTAACCCAGGTCTCCTGCATGAAAGGCGAGAATTCTGCCCCTGAACCACCACTGCTGCCATTGGACGTATAATAGGTGCTTAATAGGTATTTGCTGAATGAATATAAATCAATGCCTACGTTAACGAGTAAAGGATGGATGAATCTGACGAACAAAGATCTTACGGTGGCTTTTACATGCTCATCAAATCAAACTCTTTACTCTAGCAGCCAAGCCTCTCTCTGGCCTGGCTCCATTTTCCTCCTGTCTTCTCTGTCATACCCTTTGCCCCTCTCTCGTGGGCTCTTCCATGTTCTCATGCTCTGTTTTCCTTCCCACCAATGCAAATTCTGCACTCACTTCAAGACAAAGACAACTCCTCTGCGTCTGAAAGCTTTCCTTGAGATATATCATCTGGATAGGAATGGTCAGTATCATCAAGATATCAGTTTTCTTCAAATCAAAACCTAGATTCATGTAATTCCAATCAAAATCTTAGCAGAATTCTTCATGGAACTTGATAAGTTGATTATAAAAATTATATGAACAAGCAAAAAGCCAAGAACAGTCAAGACCATTTGTAAGAGTAAGGTTGTGGGAGAGGATTCACCCCTACCCTAAGTAAGACAGTTTTCGTTTTGGTATAGGGATAAGCAGATAAGTCAATGGAACAGAATAGAAAGCCTGGAAACATGCCCATGTACATGTACACACACACACACACACACACACACTATCCCTATTTCATTAAATATTGTTACCTCTAATTCTGCTTCATTTGGTATGAATATTGCTATTCCTTTTTTAAATATCTGTTTGCCTTGTATATCCGTGCCTATACTTTCATATCAGAGTGACATTTAATTTGTGTCATTTAGTATTATATGTCTCTTGTAGACAAAATATAGTTGAATTTTATCTTTTTACCTAGTTTGAGAAAGTTGTTAAACATTTTAATAAATATAATCCCCTCAGAAAAGCCTTACTTATTTCATCCAATCTATAGTTACCTCCTTACTTCACACCCTCTATTTCTAAACAGTGTCTATGATGTAAAATTACAGGAATACATATATAATATGGTTTTAGAACGATTCTTTTTTTTTTCCTCAAGGATTGTGCATAGGTATTTCCTTCTCTATCAGGAGAATGGCTCCTTGACGGCAGGGCTTCCACCTTGGCCTTGTTTTCTCCCCTTAGCACCAGCTAAGTTTTATGAACAACAGGTGTTTGGCCATTGCTTGACATCGTTTTCTTTAAGCAACAGGCGGGTGTGCTGAAGCCACGTAATTTGCGTGGTCCTGACAGGGTTTTGTTTTCAAAAGGAATAGGGCTACCTCTTTAATATCTTGCAGTTTTTTACAAACCCATTTCAAGATTTTGCAAATATGGATAATTTGCAATCATTTAGGATTTCTGTGAGAAGCCATCAAATATGATTAGCAATAGGAAAAATGAATACGACTGCATTTGACATTAAATTTCAATAGTGCTCAAACCCCATTAAGGCTTCTTTTTCTGTTGCTTGTGGAAACTATACTAAAAGCTTTAGCCTGCCTAGTTTGTTCTGAGCTCTAAATACCCAGGCACCCTTCGCATCCTTCTTCCTCCAGGCATACTTGCAGCGATTCATACGTGTACTTTTTCCTATGCTTGTGTTTGGAAATTTGCCCAAACTTCTGTTCTCCAGGGTATTGCTTTCTCAAGTTCTTCTTGGAAGAGTTCATGCTTTATCCAAGTGTAGTCTCCTGTGGGGCTTCTGACCCTCAGCGTTCAATGGAGGAGTTAAGGCGACAACCCTCAGAATATACCAGCATTGCATCCTAGCTCTCCTCTTGTGACAGAATAAATATAGAGCATACATATTGTAATGGGCTAGGGTGGGGAAAAACATTTCTAGCTTCACCACTGATTTTTGTCACCCTCAATAGAAAGACAAAAGCATGCTTTTGTTCCAGTCTTGTAAATTACATCTTTAGGAGAACGGCTTCTTGAAGCTTCAGGCTCTCCAGAATTTCAAAGTCTTAGTCTTGCCAATTATTCCTTTGTTGTACCTTTTGACTTATCCTCTCCACTGGCTCTCTTCTCTATGCCCACCCTTGTTTTCCCATTTAAAATACTAAACCCAAACCGTGCTCTGGACCCTGCCTCCTCCTGTGGTGCCATCCTCACCACCAAATGCACGCTGACCCTCATTTACTGCTCCATCTCTTTGCCTCATATTCGTGCTCAGCTCACTGCCGTCAGGCTCCCTCATTGTCTTTGTCACTTCTCAAAATGTAACACTCTTCCTTGGGACCTGGGACCTCCTAATATGGCCCCGTTTTGTGGCTTTTTCTTGGTACCCAAATCCTTGACCCTGTCAGTTTTTGACATAGCTGACCTGCCTCTTTGAAATTGTCTCCTGGATTAGCTTTCTATCTCTTACATTCTGCCTGTTCTTTCTCAAAGAAATTTGTATCTAGTTCAATCTATATTCAGCCTTATTCCTTCCCCCCTTTAATACTCCTCCATGTCTTCAAATGTCCATTAAATACAATGGCCACCAAGTGCTTCTCTTTATCATCCTCTGGAAGTTCCAACTCAAGTTTTCAGTTGACTACAGCTTTGCCTATTACTAAGTATCTCAAATGCATCATGTCCAAAACGAAGTTCAGTCTCCTCCCCACTCCCAGGGAATCTCCTTTCTGTTTGTCCCTCTGTTCCAACAAAAACCAGCAAGGTGCCATGGACGCTCCACAGACACATTCAAACTCCCCGAGGGACCAAATTATTGGGCTGAGGGCTGGAGACCATGGTCTCGGGGAACATCTAGCTCAACTGGCATAACACGGTTTATAAAGAGTATGTTCTACATTCTGCTTTGGTGAGTAGTGTCTGGGGTCTTAAAAGCTTGTGAGCGGCCACCTAAGATACTCCACTGGTCCCACTCCATCTAGAGCAAGGGAAAATGAAGAACACCAGACACAGGGAAAGATGAGTCCAAAGGACTAATGGACCACAACTACCACAGTCTCCACCAGACTGAGTCCAGCACAACTAGATGGAGCCTGGCTACCACCACCGACTGTTCTGACAGGGATCACAATAGAGGGTCCCGGAGAGAGCTGGAGAAAAATGTAGAACAAAATTCTAACTTAAAAAAAAAAGACTAGACTTACTGCTCTGACAGAGACTGGAGAAACCCCCAGACACCCTTTTAGCTCAGTAATGAAGTCACTCCTGAGGTTCACCCTTCATCCAAAGATAGGCCCATAAAACAAAAAAAAAAAAAAAAGAAATAAAAAGTAATAACTTAGTAGGGGCTCAATAAATGTGCTGAAATGAACAAATGAGTTAATTCCTAGAAATTGGTAGAAAATCAACTCAGGTTTTACTTAATGAGTATAGTAGAAAATAAACTCTCTCCAATTTTTCTTAAAAAAATTATCTACTTCCTTCAACTGCTACAGATAATGGTCCGTTACATATATTATGTGTGTTCTGTACACCCCAGAGCATTCCCGGGTGACACAAATCAGTGCACACTGGCACGCGTAAAGAAGTGAGGTCTTAGCAACGGCAGCTTAGCCACCTTCTAGGAATACAGTCCTCCAGTCTATAGCCGGAAATCCTAAGTACCAGGACCCAGACTGGCACTCACCTGCCCTAACCAGGGAACCCACCAGCAGCTGTGGCTCAGTGTTTAAATGTTTAACTTCCAGCTTCACCATTCCCTTCCTTCTCCAATATCTTCCTGTTCTTTTCCCAGTTTTTACTTTTCATCGGCTCATGTATGTTACTCCATTTTCACCTACATTCCAATCTCACAACCAAAAACGTAGGCGAGGATAACTGCGTGAAATGTTCGGCTTGATTAGAGCCAAACTTCCTAAACATTTAAAATCTTATGTGTCAGACCAAATGAGATACCAGCCATGAGGTTAGCGATGCTCTCTGAATGAATAAAACTGGCTTAGGTGACAATAACTGTGACAATACAAACAACACGTTTGCTTTAAACTCTTTATTATCTTGAATATAAAAGACAGAGTTTCTCTAGGATATAACAGAGTCCTTTATGTGGAAACATTATTTTTTTACAAGTGAAAAAATAAATACCTCTTGGAATAAAGGCTTATATGCTAATATGTGCCATAAAAAAGTAGAGTTTTAATATCTGACAAAATGTCTGTGCAAAGAAACAAATGCATAAACACATTACTGCTACATTAAGGCAATATGAAAAGTATACTCAGAAATCTCAGTAAAGTGACAGTGTAGTTTCTAGCTTTCACTTAGCTAGTATTGCACCCGATAAGGTCATCTAGGTTTCCCTACATCCCAGAAAACCCACTAGCTGACCAGCGTCCAAAATGCCCAAGTGGAAGTGGAAAACATGTTTTCAGAATACAGAAAGAAAAAGAACTGAAACCCTTCCAAAGCACACAGACGAACAACCAAAAGTTAATACTAAGCATTTACACCCCCCCCCAAAAAAAATTTATACAATGTCTAGGATACTTATGATAAGGCTGCAGAAGGCTTGAGAGTTCAAGCTAAAGCGACACCAATGGGTGAGGCTGGAGGAGAGTGCTTGGGAGAAATGAAGAACTACATTGTCTGTACACCATGAAGTTCCATCTCCAAGTGAGCAACGGTTTCCCTTCCCAAGGAAAATGCTCTCCTGTTTCAATCTTAAAGCAAGCTATTCCATCAAACCAAGAGTCCCCAGGAGTGCTTGACTACTCCACATAAATCTCATAACCAAATTGGTGGCATTTTATAATTGAAAGGTTGGCGGGGGAGAGAGGGGGAGGGCAAAGGCATAGGAAGCCAGTCACAGTCTTCTACCAGCCAGAATGATTGAAATCTGACAACTCTGTTGTCAGCTTTGTAAAAGTCACCGAATTGGTTTGTAAATCTGTGTTTCTTCCAATCATTCTTGACAAGTTATTAAAACAGAAATGACATTAAAACGATGACTATTTCTTTAAGAAAAAGGTTCCTATTAAAAACGTTCAGAGCTCCATGACCATACAGAAAGAACCCAGTAAATTCTTAAAATTAATTCTTACAAAATCTGCTGCAGGTAGGAAACTTACCTTGGGGTACACTAAGCGGATTTACAACAAAACTTCCTAAACGGTACTCACTTTTTGGCTATGTTGCCACTTAACTGACATCAAAGAGGATTTCTGTCTATTTGTTCACTTGATCATAAAAAAAAAAAGTCCTGGAATGTGTCTGTGTCCTAGAGCGCTTCCTGGCCACCATCACTGGAGGTGTTGCTTCTACGCGCGGATGTGTTTTTGCAGCGAGGAGTAACTATATTCTTTTTTTTTTTTTTAAACTTCACATGGCAAATGGGTGTTGGAATAATTCTTCTCTCCACAACTGATGACTTTTATAGTTCATGGCCACACGGTATGTCGCGTTAGACTACAGTCAGATTGAGCAGGCTGGGGTGGGTGGGAAGGTAGACGTGCTGAACGCGTTCCACCTGCGATCGGCAGACCGGACAGGACTGAAAGAGAAGTCACGGCACCTGTTAGAGCACTTTATAGACGCGGCCTTCAGCGTTCACCGCTGGTCCTTACTGTGTGAGCTGTTCTAAGTAAGGGTCGCTCACAATTAATTTTACCTTCAACTGGCAGAGATCTTTGCTTTCTAACAGATTTGAATGTTTGTACTTTACAAGGGACTTGAGAATCAATATTATAAAGAGCAAACAGTGTAAACTGAAGAAAATGAGTTAGCATTTTAGTCAAACTCTAACCAAGGCGCAGCGAGTGAAGCCATCACTAGAGACATATGTCCTTCTTTGTGGGCTGTGGTCCTTACACAGACAGGTGGTCCACCTAGGGCAGTGATATGAGAAACCCTCCGGAGACCGTGTGTTCTTGGCTCAGCTGCCTGTTGTCGGCCTGAGGATGGTCAGTAAGCATGGCTGTTCCTGGTCTCAGCTAACAGGTCTACATTCTTGGCTGGCTTTTCAGCAATCATGTGCCCCTTGTTGGCCGTAAGGGCGGCCTTAGCCACAAGGGTAAGGATATGCGGGCAGAGAAGGACAAATCCATGACTGCTCCCGGGAAAAGATCTTATCAGAGCAAAAGAATCTGCTCTTAGGAATGACGTGGGCATCCCGTTGGCCCATTGTAGAGCCTGAAAAGTAGTTCTGAATTCAGGCCCTGGTGGCACAGTGGTTAAGAGGTCGGCTGCTAACCAGAAGGTCGGCAGTTCTAATCCACCAGCCACTCCTTGGAAACCCTATGGGGCAGTTTTACTCTGGCCTAATAGGGTCACTGTGAGTCGGAATCAACTCAACGGTAACAGGGTTTTTTTTTTTCGTAAAAGAACTAGATGTTATTTAGGGCTGGTTTTACAGAAAACCATAGTGACATTTAGCAAACACTTCTGAGAAATGAAGACAAACTGAAAACATTATTGTCAAAGGAAATGTAAGGTACGAGAAAGGGAAAATTACTATACATGAGATGCTTTGGTTTTATTTATATTTTTTGTATGTAGATTAACATTAAAATTAGTTTGACCTGCCAATCTAAGAGGCACCTAGAGGCATAAAACCAAAAATAAAAACCAATCCTGCTGCCATCGAGTCGATTCCGACTCATAGTGACCCTACAGGACAGAGTAGAACTGCCCCATAGTTTCCAAGGAGCGCCTGATGGATTTGAACTGCTGACCTTTTGGTTAGTAGCTGAGCTCTTAACCACTGCGCCACCAGGGTCTCCCCTACAGGGATAGGCAGTAATAAAAGGAAATCATCACACATAATCACAAAGCAATCAATCTACCCATGGATAACCAAGCGTTAACTATAGCCCCAAAATTGAAGCTTTCTTTCTCAGACATTTTAAACAAATAATAAAGACTGTCCTCCAGAGTGTCAGGCCGTGGGATGCAAATGGGAGAAGCTACCCTGGACCAGACCTCAGGAGGCCTGGATTCCGGTCCCCGGTCCAGCCGCTACCTGGATGTGTCACCTGGTTTCCCCGTCTGCACAGTGAGATCTTCCAGATGCTGAAACACGCTGGATTCAGGGTCATTCTGCTATTGGACTAGTATGCTAATCCGAAATGTCTCCCAGGCAGTGCCTTTTGAGTCATGGGATATAAAGAACCCTTCGGGGTGAAAATCGAGGTTCCGTGTCGGGGTCTGAGCGAGCCCCGTGCACCTACTCACCTGCAGCTGGGCAGCGCAGCCCTCACAGCACACAGTGTGGCCACAGGGGCAGAAGGTGGAGTCGATCTCCTCCGCGCAGCACACCATGCAGAGCATGGCCTCCTTCAGCTTATGCAGCTTCTCCTGCAGCGCACGGGTGTGCTGGCAGCTGAGGCCCTCGCAGCTGCTGCAGTTCATGCTGCTTTCTGAAGACTTCAGCGGGGAGCTTCGGGGGCTGTGGTTGCTCCTTGAAACCAGGTCCACCACGCCGGCATTATAAAGGGCCCTCCGAGCGTGGTCATAGACCTCCTTGGACGTTCTTTTGATATCAAAGACATACTTCTTGCCGAGGTTAATGTTTTCATTCAGGAACAACGACGCCAAGTGGCCCTTTAGGTCCCGGCTGTACTGCATCATGACAGCACTGGTCACCGTGTCACATCTGTGGGGGGAGAGTGGACACTGCCTCAGTGTGGAGAAGCCCAGGGGTCTCCCTGATCAGACCTTAAAAGAACGTTCCTGTCGGCAGGCATTTGATATTCTCGTCTGCATGCTTGAAAGGAAGTACCTCCAGTTTTATGTGTTAAATATTTCAACGGTTCTACCTCGACAGTTTTCAAGCGTTTCCAAAGTGCCTCCAGTAAAGCAGCAGCGAGAGGGGGCCTCCCCGTCCAGGGATATGAGCTATAGCCTGAAGGAAAGTCTTCTTTGAAGTCTAGTCTTTTATCTTAAAAACTTCTACAAGTTTTCCATTCTGCTCCACAATTTGTGTCTATTTTAAAATAAAAATGCTACCAATTAAATTTCTTAGCTTTCATTTTCCCAATATTTGAGTCCAATTGCAACTCTACCTCAAAGGGCCCCTGCCTGAAACGAGGGTATCAATATTGTGATTAAAACACTCTGACTCCACAGTTGGGGTTCAGGAGGCAGCTCTCACAGAGAAGAGTGCTGTCCGCTGTCAAACTTCTGGAAAAGGGCAAAAGCAGCAGTGGAGCAGGCCCGACCACCCCGGGCTATCTCCGGGAGAGGAGGCGGTGTGAGCAAACAAGGTGGAGAGAGCAGGCGAACCGCCTGTGCAGCTCAGACGTGTGCGTTTTCTGTGGAAGGCAGGACTGTACGCTAAGGACTCTACGCTGAACCAAATGTCGAAAAGCAGCTGAGCTCTGAAATTCTGTGGCAGATTCGCAGACACAAGGCTACAATAGAAGGTAGGAGCTGTGCTGTCACCCAGAAATCTGAGCACTGCCGGCGCTCGGCAGAAAGCCACCAGGGGTACGTACCTGTAGAAGGCATGCGTTTCGGTGACAGCTCGGTAGAGCCCGCTGGCTGCCCGGGTGCTGATCATTTTAAACAGAAGCACGATGCTGTTCCCCGACTCCTTGGTGACCGTCAAGTACACATTCTTTCCTGACTGGGTGGCCATCTGCACCACCGGGTACGCGATCCTAAAAGGTGAGGTGAGAAGATGAGTCTGAAGGAGGTATTCATCAGAGCTGGGGTGCCATTTTAGGCTCATTTGCTCGTGACCCTACAGTAAAATCAGACACCTGGTCTGGGACTACCACATGACCCCTCTGCTCCCTAGGTGATAACCAGTACCAGCTGCAGTTGAGTCAACCCTAACTCAGGTGACCCTACGTGTGTCAGAGTAGAAATAGGTGCCATTGGGTTTTCAGTGGCTGATATTTTGGAAGTAGATTGCCAGCCCTTTCTTCCAAGGTGCCTCTGGGTGGACTCCAGCCATTAACCTTTCAGTTAACAGCGAGTGCCTTAACTGTTGGCAACACCCAGGGACTCCTTAAATTACAGAGATATGTGGAAAACAGTTGTGTATACACGGAGAGATGTGTTGGAGTACGTTTTGCGTGTGTATGTGAGTGTGTAGGTGAAAATGGTTTCTATGGCAGCGAACGACTTATTTGAAAATTATTTTTTTAACATACACTTTTTTCATTGTGATTCAGGTGAAAAGTTGACAGAGCAAATTAGTTGCTCATTAAAGTTAACACACAAATTGTTCTGTGACATTGGTTGCCAACCCCATGAGGTGTTAACACTCTACCCCTCTCCACTCTGGGTTCCCTGTTCCCATTCGTCCTGTTTTCCTGTCCCTTCCTGCCTTCTTGTCTCTGTTTCTGGGCTGCTGCGCCCATTACTCTCGTATCCATGACTGAACCACGAAGCACGGTCCTCACGTGTGTGTTACTGTTGGCCCTATAGACCTGTCTAGTCTTTGACTGAAGGGTGAACCTCAGGAGTAACCTCAGTATTGAGTTAAAGGGTGTCTGGGGGCCATGCTGGTGGGGTTGTTTGAAAATTATTAACTGTCCTACCAGTCCACTCTGAGTTGGCATTTTTAGAGATAATTAAATGGCTGTCAAGGCCTGAAAAAATGAATGTACATACAGAAAGTGAAACATTTTCTTCCTAAGGGATGACTGTCTAGTAAATCCCTCTCCCCTTTCTATGTTCATGATCACAGCGATAAAACCATACACATGATAGGACTTAAGAAAAAAAAAGGAGGGCTTGGTGACCTATTAATTGGGTTGAAGTCATCTGTGCAGATGGAGATTCCTTCAGGCCCGACACCAACGAGGAGTCT